TTTTTTTTACATGTTATTGTATATATTCTCTTCTCTCTTTTTTCAGTGTTGATTGTAATCTGATTTTGTAAGTGATCAATCTAGCAGTCATTCTAGATCTATGATTTATCATGTTCATAACATATAGTGATTAGTCAATAATCACTGACGAAAAATAATGATTCTTCTTTTTCTCTCTTTTGCTTGTTTCAACAGGAGCTAACTACACCCCAAAGGCTATTTTAGGAGCCACAGCACTGAGCATCTTTGGCTTTGTAAGTATGTTTTAACTATCAGACACAGTATGTGACATTAGATTAACTGCAGCTATGACAGAAATGTTTTAATATAATAATAATTAAAGAGATGTTTTGATATATATGTTTTGATATATATATATATATATATATATGATCAAGCATCCCACACCTGAGATATGCAATATCTCTCTGATGTTTCCTCTTTTCCTCCCTTTTTCTTGTGTCAGCAGGAGCCAACTACACCCCAGAGACTCTTTTAAGGGCCACCTAGAATCACGGCACCTTTGGCTTTGTAAGTCTTTTTTTTATTTTTTATATGATCACTCATATGTTGGGCTGGGGATTGATAGAGATTTCATAATTCCATTTGATTCACAAGCTCTTAATTCATTTCTGATCTTGATTCAATTCAGTTTGATTCACAATTATTCTTATTCTCTTATTCTGATTCCAGTTTCCATACGATTTAATTGGATTAAAATATTTCTGAGAATTTGATGACAGCCATTTATGTACCTTGATTTAGTATTCATTTTGGTTATAATCCTGTATTCTTCAAGAGTACTTCTAGATCGACTCAAAAGCCTGTTTTGCTCTAATATTTTCAAACAATACAAATGTTACAGTAGCTGATACACACTGATATTCCTTGGATCAAGAGCTGTCACAACTAAAAAGATACTTTAAAACACTTCCAAAAAAAAAAAAGTTAAAACTTTAAGTTTAAAGGACCATAAAGTTACTCTTTAATGTGATTGTACATTCAGGCAATTAATTCCCTGACAAGGATGTGCAAAAAAGCAATACTGTTTAAACAGTACTATACTGGGAATAACTGCTGTTGCACAAGTTGTTATCTTGTCTGTCCATGAACAAATTTAGATGAGATAAACTCATGACCATTTCTCACACATTTCCCCTCTGTTTTGTTTCAGATCAGCTGTCAGTGGTTATGGAGGCCATGCAGCCAAGACCAACTGGGATGCTTGTTGCCATATTTCTTTTTGTTGCAATATTGTCATGATCTCTGCTTTGATTTGTTGTTATGAATTCAGTTCTCTATTTTTTTTTGTAATGTTCCAGAATAAAGCACAATAAATAAGTAAATGGATGTATTTAATAGTGACAGTGAATAAAAAATATACTGTTGTACATGGACTCAGGTCACTTATTCGGAATTTATTAAATTCAATGGGATTCATGTAAAATATTCAAAGGTTTTATGAAATAAATAGTCTAAAATAAATTACAGTAAAATCACTGTAATATTATACTGTAAAACTAAGTTACATTAAGGATATAAGGATATAGTACTGTAAAATTAAGTTGCGGTAAGGGTATTTTACGGTGGCCGAGAAGTGCAAAGCAGATCACAATTCTGAAAACAAAATAACAAATTACAAACGCAAATGCAAGTCTAAAAAACAAAATAATTCAGAAAGCACAACAACAATTCAGAAAACATTATAACAAGTCAGAAAACACAACGACAAATCC